CCACATGAAAAAAATGGCAAAGAGTTGGTAGTAGAAGATAGATGCAGATGGTTGAGCCAGAATCAGAAATGGGAACAGAGTATACATTATGTTAGCGATGCAAGCAACCACAGAGCACAGAAGAACCAACTTCAGACTGCTTACGTCACTTTGTTGGGTGAGACCTGGAAGAGGAAATTGAATAAATTGGGAAAAAAGATCCAGAAGAATCATAACGTTTCTTATTATTGTTTCAAGGTCACAGCTTCAAAGATTGAACTTGTATTAAGCAAAAAGAATCTTACTGTGGCAGTTCTCCTGATGGAGATTATTGTTATTGTGTTCAATGTCGTCGTATTCGGTTCTTCTGATTGAAATCGATGTCTTCATCAAAACGTTGAATTCCGTTCTCCAGCAAATTAGAATCAGAGGGATTTGTAGAATTGCAGTTGCATAGTAAATGTAATCCTGTCGGAGAGAAGGGTTCAGGTAGAACTTTTCGAGACTAGGAATGTGAGGTCCCGTTCGAAGAACTGGGTTTCTTTTCGAATTACAATCATCCTGATGAGTAGAAGGAGCCGATTGGTAGAATGTGATTGCAACAACAGCTCCGATGGCACCGGTGAGGTGGAGAAGCTGGAAGAGAATTCTTTAGAAATGATGCTGAATGGAAACACAGGTTAAAAATGCTAAATGGCAACTGAAGAGGCGCAAACTATCGAATAACTGCAACTTGGCAGTCGAAGGAGAACTGACGGGCCGTTGACGGACTGTCGACATACCATCGGGACCTCGGAAAACCGACTAGAAAGTTATGATTGAAAATCAACCAGAAAACGTTTTTCTAAGACAATACACAATCCTTTGGATTCGATTTCCTATTCTCTTCTCGGCCGTCAGCCCCCCCCTCAGATTGATAAAAACAAATATTCCACTACCTATGAATCAAATTAAAATCTCTGGGGGAGTTCGAGGGAAGCTCTAACTTTTTTACACTGCTTTGAACCACTTCCTAGCTTTTCCGAAGTTCTTAACTTTTATGCTCAATCGAGAAAATATATTATGAGGTATCCACACTCTATCTCACATTTTGGGTTTTCAAATTGAACCTTTGGTTTCTCCAGACTTGATTTGAATCACCTTTGTTAGGTTCCAGTTTCTTTAGGATAACGAAATTTTGTTTTTCATTGAAGACAATACTTAATAGACAAGTGACTCTTATTCGCTATTAGCTTTCTAGACTTTTCCCTAGAACAATGAAACTTCCTCGTTCCCATATTCCATGGGCGGTGCAAAAATCGTTTATCTTTATGATCCCTAAAAACTCGAGAGTGACTCAGTTACAATTTTATCATCAGATGAGTTGTGGGGATTTTTTCTGCAAATGTAGTCATATGCGTACTTCATGGAAAGGACAAAAAACAACTTTTTTCTCTAATGTGGCCTTCCAGAGCTCCGATTTTGTCGTGCTACATTGTGATGAAAAATGAAATATATAGCCTATTGATGCTCCTCCTATAATCGTCACTTTCAGTTATGATAACTGCGTTATCAGC